ATTAAAACTGAAAATATTAAGAAACTTAAAAATGTTTCTTTTTAAGATGATAATATATTCCTTATGCTTTGCAGCCTCTCCCTTTTTCTCAGACCCAGCAGTACTAACCACTGAAATGGCTGATGAGCTGAAGGAGACCTGCTTTAACATTTTTTAAAGGAAAATGCAACCAGACCCCATTTCTACTTGTCCCTTGACATTTTTCATGTAAAAGGGATCAGCTCTACAAGGATATTTCCAAGTGTTAATTCATCAATTGTTTGCACAGCCTTCAGGCTTGCCTTCTGCAGAAAGGTAGAGTAACAACGGGTAAAACTGGCTGGCTCTGTGGTAAGGCCTCAGTACTTTATGAGACCATAGGATTCTGACCTTGGTTATGCCATTAAAGAGCTGTGATAATTCATGCTCAGGAGGCCTAGGACAGATAATTTAGTGCTGACAAGGAAGGATGCCAGTCACAGCTTAGCATGGCTATAGCTTTCATCACAGCTCAGACCTGTGTCATTCAGGTTGCCTGATATCTTGTTCAAACTAATACATTTGTGACCCATTTGGTTTGCAGATTAGATATGCTCACTTCCTGTTCTGCTAAAATTTCCAATTTAGTTCTGATTCAGTAAAAAGTGGTGATAAATACTGAAATAAGTAAACTGTCATCAAACATTCATACCAGATAATGGTACTCCCAAAAAAACATTTCTCTAGGAGAATACCTGACAGGCACTCTAAGCAATAAACTTCTTGAACACTACCCAGTTTTGTGAATCTTTTCAGCACCAATTTACATAATTTGACATAATTACAGATATAAATCCTTGAAGAAGCCTTGAAAGCAGAAGTGTCACTGAAGCCTACACTTTATCAACTCTGCATTTGATATATTTACAAAGCTCAGAGTCACATCAGCTGGATCTCGATTATACAAGAGTTTATACTCCTTGACTGGTCCATGAAATTTGGCCTTGCAAAGAAAACAACACAGACTGTCCTAATGTACAGGACCAATCATTTTTAAATACAGGGTCACCACTTTAAAAATGTCCAGATTTTCCTCTCTTATAGTTTTATACTAATGTAAATAATATTAGTGGCATCCCTCCTTATAAGTTAGGCTATACAACTGACAAAGCAACCATGTCATATATTCCTGTTCTTAATTTCATGCTGATGTCAGTGACAAAGCGTTCAGTCTCAGTGACTTTACATTTGTGAGACCTATACTGTATATACAAGATCCTAAGCATTTATAACTTGATATAAACCAAAAGGTTTTCCTTAATTTAGAGGAAACGTTAACTGGTTGAACTGAACTCATTCATTGTCACACAGACCTACTCACCTGCAATAAGACCTTATATCAGACAAATTATACAGAGACAACTGACTCAAATTTTGCTAAAATTACATTGGTGTAAAGCCAAAGTAACATCAATAATGTATTCGAATATTATTATTTATACCTGTACAGGGGAGATAATTTATCTATAGCCTTTAATGCCACCACAAATTACATTTTTAATGCCAAAAAATATAGTACCATGGAGATTCCATGGACCAAGATGTTCACACATGACTTGTGATTATGGGCATCTCATTGTCTTGTTACACATTGCACTTTGAGCTGCTCAAATGTTAATCAGTGTTAGTACTAGCTCAAATTTGGTGCAATCTCACCGTAAGGCTAAAAACCGTTTTTGACAGTCCCCAAATTGCACAGCTGTGACCTGCCACTAGAGGGCTGGCAATCAGGGGTATGACTAGGAGCTACAGCTGTGAGTTGCCATTACAGGGCTGCTGAATCCAGGACAGGCTTCTATGCTTGCTCTAGTTGGGGATGTGTAAGAGAGGGGTTGGGGGAGGCGGGAAGGGACAGGAACTTGAAGCTGGGAGGCAGAGAGTTAATAGGATGGGGGTGGTTAATGAAATGGAAGGTGGAAAGGAAATGGGGGTGGGGGAAGAGTTGTGTGTCAGGGCCGAGGGGCTGTGGCCAGCAGCCCGGGCACGTGGGCCGGGGAAGTCGGCACGGCGAACTAGAATTAGGCACTGACACGTGGAGGTTGATTAAAGTTTATTTTACTTACACCGTAGATGTTCGCGGTGCAGGCAGGAAAACTTGCTTGAGTTGCAGTTACAGACAAACACAAATGGAGTTTGCTAGGCTCCACCGAAGACACACGAGTGGAGTTTGCCAGGCTCCGCAAAACAAACACGATGAGAGCTCTCTGAACCGATACGAGAGTCCGAGCTGTGACTCTCAACGAGCGCGCAGGGCAGGGGTACGTCAAGGATCGTCCGGTGACGGGGAGAGATTCTTGATGGGTGATCAAACCATCATTCGGTCCGAGATATACATAGAAATCCACGAGATAATCGTGGACTCCTTGCCGGAATTCTCTCGGATTTCTCCCGGAATTCTCGGAATCGGGGTTCTCAGGATCCTCCTGAGATTCTCGGAGATCTCCGACTTGGGCGGAAACTGCTCAAGCCTCTTATACGGCTAGCAAGCCAATCGCTAGCC